AGGAGGCCCTTCAAGAGAGGAGCAAAAGATCTCCTGGCCCTCCTGCCTGTCCACTGCTGATGGCAGCGCCTGCTAATTGGGAGGCCAGAGCGGAGGTGGGGCTCGGGGCTGAGCACCCAGGTGCGTGGGAGGGTCAAAGTGTGGGTGCCAGGTCCATGCACTTGTAGGCTGGGGAGCTGTGTGTATATGAGGGTGTGGGTGTCACCTACACCCCATACACTGTGTCACTTTAAGGTTTCCCCTCACCCTGCCCCCCAGGCTGTGGCAGGCGCAGTTTCTATGGTGATGGAGCCCAACTCCCAGGCTAGCAGAGGTGGGGGGAGGTTTGCTGTAGCCTACAGGCTTATTTAGATAATACACAAAGGAGGCTGCTTCAGGGAGGCTCCACAGGTACCTGGGGAACCACAAGTCTTAAAGGACTGCTACATAGTCCTCTGCACTGCCCACCTCAGCCCTCCCTAAGGGAGGACCCCCAAAGAGTGCACCCTCAGCCCCTCAGCAGCCTGAGGCTTCGGTCTCCAAGGCAACTACAGCTTACCTGTAAGGGACCATTCTTCTTAAAAAATGGGGAAGAAAAGGACAGAGCTTAATCCTTTGTGGGGGAGCAGGGAGGACGGTCACGATTCTCACCTTCAGCCAGCCCCACCCCTCCCCGGGATCTCAGTCAGCTGCCCTTGCTGTTAAATAAACTTGTGGGTCGCACTGACCACAGACTGGAACTCTTCTAAACACACTTACAGACATCAACTCATGCAATCCTTAGCATTCCCCCATTAAGGAGATGTTAGCTATCATTATTCCCATTTTAGAGAGGGGAAACTGAGGCTCAGAGGACTGGAGAACTGTGTCCAAGGTCGCAGAGCTGGCATTGGCACTCACCAGGGGTGGCATTCTAGATGGGGTGGAGGCTCACAAAGCTGTCAAAGGCAATTCTGGGGTCAGCTGGCCTCTCTGAGACTCTGGTATCTGGACATGTGTGCCTGCTTGGGTACCCAGGGGACCAGGGACCATTGTGCCCTGGGGAAGGGCCTGTTTGCCAGGCAGATGGCAGGCAAACATGGGGCAGGGGGCGAACTCTTGGGAGGGAAGCCATGTGGAAGCAGGATGTGACCTACATTACATCTCAGCACAGAGCAGGAACCTGACCCCAAACAAACCGTCCCATCCTGGCTGGGGTCCCTTTGGCCTGAGGCTCTGTGGGACTTTATGTGATACTCCCCCCATCCAAGTATTTAGTCCAAGAGAAGGCCAACTCCTTTCCCTACTGGGCTTGGGCACATGCTGGGTCTCTTGCCCCCCCACCCTTGCTATCTGGAATCCAGAATCTTGGTGCACTCTGACCCCTTTCTCACAACACAGAGGCTTCAGCTGCCTGGAAGGCTCCTCTTTCCAGTCAGAACTTAGCTGAAGGAGAGATTGCAGCCTGGCAGGGGAAGGGCTCACTGGCCGCCATGTGGAGCAGAGGCCAAGGCTCTGGTTCCCAGACCCCTAGAAAGCCAGAGAAATGAGGCAGTAATAGAGCCCCTCCCAGGTGCCAGGCCTCCTCAGGACCCGAGCCCTAGAGGGGGCTTCAGGGAGGTTAGGGGTCCCTGGGGCTATGGGACTACAGAACAGGTAGGCAGTGGAGAGAGTGAGGGAGCTGGGTCCTGGCACAAGCCTTGGAGTTTGCTGCTTAGACCAGCAGGCCCAGGCCACCTGGCCCAAGTGTGTTGGTGTTGGGGTGGGGGGGGGCCTGGAAACAGCTGAGATGCCACCAGGCCCCACAGGCCGCCCAGGCCCCCTTGGGCTCCCCACTCCCAAAGGGTTAAAGGGCAGAGGGGGGCACAGGAAGCCTGGGAGTGGACAATGGAGCCTCTGTCCTCCCCAGGGCCTCAGCATTCCTTAGGCATGAAGCAGACGGCCGGCGGAGGGGGCCAAAGGGAACACCCCCCTCCACTGAAGCCACAAGCCTGGGTTGGCCAGAGGCTCTGTCCTCCACATCACGTAGCTCTGCATCCAGCACTGCAGCCACCACCCTCAGCCACACCCCTTCCCAGCACAGGCCTTGTTGTGTGCACACTCACTCGTGGACACACACGATGTATACATGCAACCACACACATGACCTTCACCCAGGCAAACAGGAATACTAGACATTACACACACACATGCAAATACACACATGCAACCAGATATATGAGCTCCACATATGCAAATAAGAATACTAGAAGCCACACACACCGACACTCCCAAAGTGCCCCCAGCAACCCAAGTATCCCATGTAAACCTCCAGACTGGGGCTGCCCTGTCCCCACACCCGCCTGGCACTGGATCCTTTAGACCAGAGTGGTAGGGAGGGAGCAGGCCCCTGAGGACTCAGTCCCCTTCAAGCTCCACCCTCAGACTGACATTGAGTAGGAGGGGCTCAGAAGTCTCCCTTGGCCAAGTGCATAAAGCCCAGGATGCTGGTACCCTCCTGCCCCACCCGATTCCTGGCCCACACTGTGCCCCTGCTAGGTTTAGGGGCCAGAGCCCTGCACGAGCTGCTGAGTGGGAGACAGTGGCTAGGCACTCCCTCTGCAGCTTTCCAACCTGGAGGGAACACAGAAGAGCCAGGGCAATCTCCTGAGGCCTTAGGTAGGGGCCCCGGACAAAGAAAAGCTGCCAGGAGACCAGTAGTGCAGACCCTCCTGCAAAGGGTCCCCCCCCCGGCCTGCTCCTCCCTCTCTCTCCAACAGCAGCCTTTAGAAAGCCTGTGACCTCCATCACTGCTCATCTGCCTGGCAGCCACCAGGCACCCCCATCCACCCTCCAAGTTGGACAAGGCCCCACGGGGGGAGGGGGGTCTGTGCCCAACCCAAAGGCCTGGAGTCCAGCTGAGTGTGCTGAGTGGCTGCTGGATGGGGCACAACCTCAAGCTGTCACGGGGAGGCAGGGGCAGTTTTGGGGAGGTGGGGACAGGAGCAGAGAGATGGAAGACAGACAAAAGCAAGTGGAGCTAGAGCAGGGAGCCAAGGCCCAGAGAAGGCAGGAGGGGCGTGCACTGCCCCACCCCACAAGCTCCATGAGCAGGAAAGGGAAAGGGATGGTCTGGGGGACAGGGAGAACTGGGAGGCTGAAGAGGAGAGGGCAAGGGGGCAGAAGCAGGAGAAGGGGGTGTCTAGGATGGGCCAATGAGAGCAAGGGGGAGACAGAAAGCTTTTGGGGGTGGGGGCTGCTGAGGGCCATTCCAGAGGGCCCTGTCCCGGGATCTAACCCCAGCCTTCCCAATCATAGCAGCAGGGGCAGCGCAAAGACAGCAGCCTATGGGACCCTAGAGCAAATGTCGAAAGCACAGAGTGGGGCCCCCACTAAGCCTGCAGAGCAGGAGATGGGCTGGCACCCCCATCTGCCCCCATCCTGGCAGGCCCCTGCACAGGACCCCACCCTGACTCCACACCCTCCTCTGGAACATGCCCTCCTGGAGCCAGGTCCAGGGCCACAGGCGGTAATGAGTGACTGTAGTGGCGGGGCTGGGCCACTCTGCAAGGCCACATCACCCTCATGCCCAATTGCAGCCATTTCAAGTGGTACCAGAGACCATTTGCCTTGAAAGGGACCTTAGAGATCAGTGAGTCTGCCCCTCATTGCACAGCTGACTGTCTGTCCCAAGCCTCTGGGCTGGGGAATGACCAATATGGCACATGAAGCTGCTTCTTTGCTCCTTCCCAGCCAGCCAAAGCCAAGTGTGTGCCACAGAAGACACCACACCCCAGTGTGGACCTAGGGATCTGTGCCGACTGGGGGCACAGCCCAGGCACCCTGTGCACCAGAGGAGCCCACAGACCAGGCCCCTCCTCACTGACTCTGCTTCCCTTTTCCCTTCAGAGAACCATAAGAAAATAAAATAGAAAGAAAATGAGCCCGTACACCATGCGGACAAGGACAGGGTTGGTCCAGTTTGTTACTATCTCTTCCACAGGCAGCTGGAACGTGGCCCAAGCGGGCACTGGCTATGAGCAGCTGCCCGCAAAGACTGCCCACCCCTGGGCTGCTGAGCCCCTGGGCAGGGGACCCTGCCTCCAGGTGCTGACTGTCCTGGTGCTGAGCAGGGAACTGGGAGAGGGGCCTTTCGGGAGGTGGCGGCTGCTGAGCAGGGGATTCCCTTTCCCTGATCACATCACCAGACTCTTAATTTCTTTTGTTCTTTCCTGTATATTTCAGGTGTATTACACACACAGTAAGATGTGTTACTTTTGGGATCACACATAAACAAACATAAATAAATATGGAGAAGCAGAGAGAGACTGGAGTGCAGCAAAACCAAATGGCTAGAAGCCAGGGAGGTGGGAAGGTCCTGGTACCAGTCCCACCCATCCCAGTCCTGCTACGAACTCAAGTGGCCATAGTCAAGTCCCCAAAGGCCCAGGATCCTGCAGGTACACATGTGCAGATGCTGCATGGGTGGGTGCTGTGCCAGGTGAGAGGCCAGGCCAGGCAGAGTCCCACTGCCTGCTCCAGCCACCTCACAGGGGACAAGAAAGATGGGGTTCGGCAGCAGTTCCAGGGAAGAAGAGCTGGCTGGGCTTATTCACTGTCAGGTTCACGTGAGTCAGCAGAGATGGCACTGGGCTGCCCAGAAGCCCCTGCCCTCCAGGCGGCGTCACCCAGGAGCAGGACATCTACGTAATGGGGGTGGGGAGTGCCAGGACTCCACTGCTTGGGGCGATGGCCCTAGGCCTGCCTCCCTGAGACAGGCAGGGATGGGCAGGGGTCCAGATACCCTGTTGGGAGCAGCAGGCTGTACTAACTGTTCTTTGCAATCCCTGCCAACCAAGAGACCCCAAAAATCTAACCTAGAAAGGAGGGAATGGAATCACAGACCCCTCCCATAAGTGAACAGAGATAGGAGATGTGGCAATGGGCAAAAGACCTGCAGCAGGCAGGGACAGGGCCCCAGGCATCTTGCTTTTCAAAAGTCCCTAGCCCTGAGCCAATGAAGCTCTCCCTCCCTCACACCTACCTGATGGACCCACATTCCACACCATGTGCACCGGAGGCACATCAGTGGGTGCCCAAACCGACCTCACCCAGTGCACCCTTTATTGGCCACAGAGCCCGTGAAAACAGGCTCCAGACACACCCTGTGCCTCCAGAGAGGGGACTGTGGTTCTGCTGCAGGCTTTGAGGGGAGCCCCGTGGAGCCCAGGCTGGGGTCTGGAAATAAGGGGGAGAACAAAGCCCCCCCCTAACCTCGGTGTGGAGGAGCAGGCAGCGCCCAGCCCTGGTCCCTCCCCGCCCCCCATTGCAGGGGCGGCTGAGCCCAATCGCCACCCCCCATGCTGGCGTTGTTTTCAGTCAAACAGGGCTCCCCACTAGGGAAGAGGGGCAGCCACGCCCAGGGCCACACCCCAAGGCGGTCGACCCGGGAGCACTGGGCCCCAATCTCTCTTTCTCGCACACGCGCACGCGCACAGAGACACGCCGACTTCATCCCCTACTCGCCCACGCAGACCCTGCCTGACCCCCGTGCCCCTCCCAAGGTCAGTATTTAGGGCGCCGCCCAGGTACCCCTCACCTGTCGGGCTCCAGCAGGCACCTGGCCTCCTTCCCCGCCCCACTCCCGTCCGCGGTGCCCCGAGGCTGAAGCCCGGCATGAGTGGGGCTCCAGCCGCAAAGTCGGTGACCGCGGGCCAGACTGGGCTGCATTGCCCGATCTGCCGCTCGAGGCAGGCTGGGGCGGGGTCGCAAGGGGTCGTCGCCACAGCCCGGGCGCCAGAGCCAGCCAGCCCGCCTTACCTGCGCTGCGGCCGCTGCTCGGGCTCCCCGCCCAGTCTCCGTGCACGCCGGCCTCGGACCCGCCGCCCGAGCACGTCTGCTGTGCAGTTGCAGCGGCTGCAGTGGTGGCGGGGAGGGGGCGGGGCGGGGCGGGCGTGCGTGGAGGGGAGGAGGAGGGGAGCGGAGGGAGGCAGAGGAGGGAGCAGTGAGATCAGCTCCAGGCCGCCGGCCCCGCCCCGCCGCGCCCTACCCCCTAGCCCTGGCCGATCCTGGCCACCGCGCCCGGTTCGGGTTGGGGACTCCTAGGTGGCCCACTCCAGGAGCTCAGTGGGACCCCCGCCCGCAGCCAGAGGTCCCTGGCCCGGGCGTGTCCCCAGCCCAACCACTGGAGAGTCCCTGCCGCCGTGGAGGCTCAGAGCAGGAATCACGGGCGGGAGTGCTCCCGCGGGCCTGGGGCCGCGCGGTGGAGAGGAGTCAGGTGGGGAAACAGCTTCTCCCCCAGTCCCCCCTTGGCCCTCTAGAGCGCTGGCCAACGATGGGCACCCATGCGCAACTCGGTCCGGGCCGCGCCCAGGTGTCGTGCGTTTGGTCGCCCCCTCCCCCACCCCAGACGCCCAGAGCAGGACTCCAGCGTCCCTGAGTCCGCGCCCAAATGCCTCCCCACTCTGGCGCCCGGTCCGGGTCCTTCGGGAGGGGTGCGCGGGCCTCGATTCCCAGCCCTAGGGGAGGCACATTGGGGAGCGGCACCCTGCACACCCCTAAACCCTGGCAGGCTGCAGGATGAGAGCTGAGCCCAGGGACAAGAGGGTCGCTCAGAGGGTGTCCCTCGAGCTACCAACCCCAACTCCCAGATATTCCTCCAACCCCCCCTCCAGCCCGGTTTCCCAGGTGTCATATTCTTTGTCCTGGGAATTGGCCTCCTACCTATCCTGCTGGCCCTACTCTCCCAGTCTTCCTCATAGCCCTGCACGGTAAACGTGGGGCAGGAGCACCTCCCCAGCGACCCCTCCTAGGCTCATGGCCATGACCTCCCAGGGGAGACGAGATCGAGGGGGGGCAAGAATTCCAGAGCCAGCCAGCTGGCTGCAGCCTCAAGGCAAGGAAGGCCTAGAGCCCAGATGGCAGATTGCAGCCTTGGTGGCCACGGTATTTTTATGGGCATGCCTGTTGCCCAGTGAGGCATCCCTGTGGGCCCTCTACACAGCCTCCCAAGACCCCCAAGTGGTACAGGGCTCTCCTCCAGATGGCCTTGGCATCCTGGCCCGGGTGCCCTCCCCCATTTTAGACCACCTTGTGGCATCTTCAGTTCCCCTGGAAGGGGAGGCTTGGGGTGGCCCCAGATGTCCCCAGAGAGGGTCTGGATGTGATGTTTCTAGGGGCCTTTCACAGGAGAATGGACAAGCCTAGGAGCCTGAGTGAAGGGCTGCCAGAATGGGGGTGCTGGCAGGACTCTTGAAGGTGTCTAGCATCTTAAGGAGACAACAGAGGAAACTGAGCCCACTTGGGTCACAAGGCCAGTGGCCCCATGAGCTGGGTGGAGAAGGGGGGTATTTTCCATGAAGCACTGAGCTGTAGTCAGCTTCCTGCCCATGCTGATCTGGGCTCCGATAGGCCTGGGCAGAGCTGGCACTGGCCTCTCTCCTCCCCAGATGCTGCCTCCACTCACACTCTGGAGTTCCTGGCCTTTCCCCAAGCCCCACCTCTTGCCAGTCTCCTACCTAATCTAGGGTTTGACACTGGTCACCAAGAGGACACTGACAGGGCTGAAGTGAGAAAGGAATATGCACCTACTAATGCACAATGATGAGTCTGGTCTCTACTTATTATAGTAATAAAATAGTAGTTGCTGTTATCACACTAAATCACATGCAGCAAGCATGGCCGTGAGCCCACCATCACTGTGCTTCATGCACATTTATCTTGCCCCAACCTGGGGAGGGCCGTCTGAGCACAGGCCCCACATTGCAGAATGGGGCCAGCAAGCACACCTACGGAGAGTCTCTTTCTCTCCTTAGCGCCAATCTCCACATGCTCCCAGGACGGAGGCTCTGTTGTTACCCTCGCTTTCCAAGTGACGGGCCTCATTGCGTAGTAGGCACTATTATAGCCCCCATTTCAAGGGTGAGGGAACTGAACTTCAGAAGGGTCAAGCGCCTTACCCAAGATCACTCAGAAGGTAAATGGCAGAACTAGGATCTGAACTCCCTCTGCTTGACTGTGACAGCCATTCTTTCACATGCAAGCGTGGAGGTAGAGGGGCCAATGGGAGCAAGAACAGGAGGGCGAAAGGACTGTAGGCAGAGCAAGTCCCAGGCGAAGCAGGAGAGATGGCCCTGAGCAACAGGTGACCATCCCCCATGGCTACATGCTGGCTGTGCAGGGTGGGGGGCACTGGACAAGCAAATGGGTGTGTCTTGCCCTTCAACATCAAGTGCTTCTCATAGCCTCTGCAATTTGGTCACTCTGCTCCTTGTGACCCACCCTTCATAGGCATAGTCAACTGCACAAGGGAAGCCCCAAGGGTCTGACCAGACCTCCAGACAAGGGGCCATGTGAAGGAGAGGGAGTTGCAGGAGGCAATGGGCAGGGGGCAGGAAGGAAGTGGCAGGGGGCAGGGTGGGTGCTGGGCCTGACACATCCTTCTCTATTCTTCTCCTTTCAATATCTCTGTGTCTTCACAGCTCTTGGAAACAGTATATGGCTGGATTTTGGGTTGATCCAGTTTAACAATTCTTGTCTTTTTAAAAAATCAGTTTTATTGAAGTATACTTTATATACAATAAAATTTGCCCTTTTGAGTATAAATGTCGTGTAACCACGACCAAAATCAAGCTGTAGGACATTTCCATCTCCTCCCCAAGTTCCTTCACACCCATTTGCACCCATTTGCACACCCTCCACCCCCGGCCTCTGGCCCCTGGCCACCACCAATCCAATTTCTGTCTTTTCTAAAATGTATGACAAATGGAACCATACAATGTGTATTCTCTTGTCTGTCTTTCCCGTAACACAGCTTTGTCGCTCCTCCATGCTGAGTGTGTACATGCGTGTCAGTAGTGTTTCTTTTCACTGCTGAGTAGTCCTCCAAGGTTCGTGTGTGTCACTCTGTTTCAACATTCATACGCTGAAGGACAGCAGGTCATTTCCAGCTTTCAGTGATGACAATGGAGCCGCTGTGAACATTTGTGTCCGGGCTGCTCGGCCATGTGGCAAACTTGCCTTCACCCATCTTTCCCATGGAGTCAGTCAGTCACATCCATGACAACTGCTGCTCTATTAGGATGTATTTGGCCAATCATTGTGTGCTTTCCATTTGTCCTGCTGCCCCAGTTTCTCTCCTCCACCCCCACTTTACATAAGTGAAGGCTCAGGGCAGGAGGCAGGAAGGCCTCTATTGATCAGAAATAGAAAGGGACTTTGTACAGGCATGCGGATGCTTACACAGCCACTAGATGGGCCAGAGCAATAGGCTACCTGTGCCACCACCGAAAGGCCACAATGTAACCTTTGAGTTCAAGAAGACACTACTGTAGCCACGACCTAGGAATCAGCAAGTCGAGAGCAGGACATTGTTGCTGCCACAAGTGCCCCCAATAACCAGGAAGTAGAGGCCGGACACTTGGTGCCCAGTGGGAGGAGGCTCCCCCCTTCACTTGTGCAGCCGGCACAGCACACCTGACAGCAGCACGGAGACCGACCTGGCAGCAGGAGGTGGGAGCACACGCTGATAGCAGTCAATAGACCCAGTCAGACCCTCTGTTCTTGGTCATCTTTGAGCTGCATTAAATTTGTTTTCTTGTTTCGTTTTCCCTTCATTTGTTTAGAAGCATTCTATGAATTTTTTAGTAGTTCCTCTAGCTATTTTAACATGCATTCTTAACAAAGTCTACAGTTAATCAATATCTCTGCTCTGGTGGTTTTCACCCAGGTCCACAAATTCTCTGCTACCCCTGTCTCGGGCAGGTGATGCCTAATCTTCCTCTCCCTGAGTATGGGCTGGACTTGGGAGCTCACTTCTAATGGATGGAATAAAGCAGAAGTGACGGCTGCAACTTTGGGGACCAGGCCATAGAGGCACTGCTGCTTCCTCCTTGTTCTCTCCCTTGGATCGCTGTGTCTAGGAGGGGAAATCCGCAATCTCTTGGAGGGGCTCACGTGGAGAGGAGACTTCCTGCCAACAACCACAAGGGCGCCATTTTTAAAATGGATCTTCCAGCCCCAGCAAGCCTTCATATGACTTTAGTCCTGGCCAAAATCTCAACCGTAACCTCACAAGAGACTTGGAGCTAGAACCATCCAACTAAGCCACTCCTGAATTCTGACCTGCAGACGTCATACGATAATAAACAGTTACCGTCATTGGAAATCACTGTGTTTTGGGGTGATTTGTTACACACCAATAGATCACTAATACATCTTCCCTCTTCCTCAACAATTCAGGGCCTCAGATCACCTGGTAGCCACAGAAGGTAGATCCCCTTATTATCCCCAGTTTTGCAGAGGAAGAAACTGAGGCATGAAGAGGAGTGCTTGCCCTACAGCTGCTCAGAAGCAGAACCAGGTCTCCAGCATGACAGTCTCAGCCCAGAGCCCACATGCTCACCCTCTGCCCCACTCAATTAGAAATTCCACAAAGTTCTGTGGATACCCTGTTGCACAGTTGACAAACCCGGACTCTTCCCTGAATCCCTACCGAAGCCTGTGGCCACCGTCTTCATAGCTTTTCCAGGGTCAGGGTTCCCTACCTCTGGGTCAGCAAGTGGAGCAGCATCTGCTGCCTGTCGTGTGCTATCTCTGTGCCTTGGCACCAATGCTCACACTCTTCCCCTCACCCAGACAACATCCCAACCTCTTAGTTTTTTGACCTTTTTCTCTCCAAAGACCCTGTTGACCTCACCTCTGCCTTCCCCCTCACAGCTGCTCTGCCACGTTAAATCCCAAATGCATGCTCTGGGCACAGCCTCCAACCTGTCCCCTCTGGTTCTCCAACTTCCTCCCTCCACCACCCCTGCAATTTGACCTCATAGAGCTTTCGGATCCTTTCCCTGCACCCGACCCATCAGCTCCCGCTTGGCCTTTCTCTCTGCCAGACCCTGCTGAGGCCCCAGAGTATATCTCTTTAACCTGCTCGAGTTTCTCCACTGAGGGTTAGTGCAGGCATGAGGAAGACAGTGACCTCAGCCATGTGCACAGGAACCCAGGCAGCATGATTCACCAGAGCTTCAGGGAGCCTGGAGCCAGGAGGATTTTAAGCAGCAGTAGCAACCAGCGTATCTTGCCCACACCACAACCTCCCACCCTCATCTGCTATCATGGGGACTCAGCCCTGCTGCGCCTGGCACCACCCACCAGCCACCTCACCCTCTGCTCTACATCCATGTTTCCTCCATCTCTTGGCTGCTGCTTAATCCTAGTCTCTGCCTCCCCTTTCCTTCTGCTGCCCCGTGACAAATACATGTCGCTTTTTCTGCACATATCTTCTGGCTTCTAATCTCTTCAACTGCAGTTAAAATTCTAAGAGAAAGAGGCTTATCTGCCCAAATACTTGCCACCCTTATTTGGGCAGAGCCTGCGTGCCAGGTAACTTGATAGGAAACCAATGTGCCTATAGACAGGCTATTCTTGGACAGGTACTGGCTCCTGGTCCAAGCAGCTGAGGCCAAAGTTGGTACAGGCTATGTGACACAGCATGGCCAACTGTTATGGAATGAATGTTTGTTTTGCTCCAAATCCATATGTCAAAGCCCTGACCCCAGCTTGGCAACCCTGGGAGATAGGGCCTCTGAAGAAGTAAGGAAGTTAAATGAGGCCAAAAGGGCAGACTTGACTCCCACCCCGATGACAGAACACAGCAAGAAGGCAGCTGTCTACAAACCAGGAAGAGAGCCCTCCCCAGAAACTGACCCCATCAGTGCAGAGTAACGTGCCATCGCCATCCATGTGCAAGTCTCTGGCTAGTGGTGCTCCCGCCTCAGGGAGCAGCATCTTGGTAAGCATTTTGCTTGGCCTGTTCTGTCTAACCACACCAACGTAATCTATTCCCTTGTTTTTCCTTTATATTCAGCCTACAAAGCCTCTGACTTGGAACAGAATTGCCATTTGACTTCTCTGCTCCCCCTCACATCCTGGAGAAAACCACTTAAGTGTGGAGACTGGTATCCCCAGGGATTCGTGGGCTCCAAACAAGCAGTCTCATGAGTACCACAATCCTACCACATACCCCCAGCCAGGGCCCTTCCTTTCCATTCAGTGGATCTGCCAGATTTTCATCATAACCTGTTGACTTGGAAGTGACGGTGACAGATTAAACATAGGCATTTACTTTCTCTCCCTCCTGAAACCCTGCTAAAATGACAGTAAATGATTTTCTAAAAAGCAAAAATTCCCAAGGACAAAAATAATAGAAGATCATACCAGGGATGCAGGGATGGTTCAACATACGCAAATCTATAAATGCAATTCACCACATAAACAGAAGCAAAAACAAAGACCACATGATTCTTTCAATAGATGCAGAAAAAGATTTTGACAAAATTCAACACCCTTTCATGATACGAACACTTAAGAAAACAGGCATAGAAGGGACATACCTAAAAATGATACAAGCCATATATGACAGACCCATACCCAACATCATAATGAATGGGGAAAAATTGAAATCATTCCCACTTAGAACTGGAACCAGACAAGGCTGCCCACTATCTCCACTTCTGTTCAACATAGTGCTGGAAGTCCTGGATACAGCAATCAGACAGGAAAATGGAATCAAAGGTATCCAAATAGGGGCAGAAGAGATCAAACTTTCACTGTTTGCTGATGATATGATATTGTATCTAGAAAACCCCAAAGATTCAACCAAGAAACTCCTGGAACTGATCAATGAATTTAGTAAAGTCTCAGGATACAAAATCAATACACAGAAATCAGAGGCATTCATATACGCCAACAACAATCTAATTGAGAACCAAATCAAAGACTCAATTCCCTTCACAATAGCAACAAAGAAATTAAAGTACCTAGGAATATACTTAACCAAGGAGGTAAAAGACCTCTACTGGGAGAACTATGAAACACTGAGGAAGGAAATAGCAG